TTTGCTGTCTCTTTCCATGTATGGCCACTCAGAGTTTTTATATGTGTGGTAGCAATCCAAACTCACGTGCTCATGGTTATGTGGCAGGCACTTCAGTGGTTGAGTCATCTCCTCATTCATATCCTGTAAATCTCTGACAGACAGATATATGCTCTCTCGCTGTTATTTTCAATTCTTGGAGCTACCAAGTAAAATCATGATCCCAACAGAAGATACACAACCTCATTCCTCTGTGGGTTTGAAACTCAACTCAGCAATAGGCTGCAGGAAAGAAGATGCCTTCCTTCACCATGACATAAGCATACTTAGTAGTGTGGAAAAGAGCATGAAGTATAGTGATATACTATTTATGGTTTATTAAAGTTTGACTGAGGACTCAGAAAAGCAAAGTCAGTTACAAGTCATAAAAGTCAGGCACACACCTTTAATCCCAGCAGCCAGAAGCTAGGAGGTGGTGGTACACATCTTTAATCCTAGGACTCAGGATTAAGAGGTAGATGGACCTCTGTGAGTCCAATGCCACCCACATCTATACAAGAGTGAATCAGTCTAAAAGAGAATTATAGCTCACACCTTTAATCCCAACATTAGGGAATATATAAGACAGAAGCAAGGTCTCAGAGAGGGATTCACTCTCCAGCCACACTGAGGACAGGCAGCAGTTTGAGACTTGATGAATAGCTCTCGAGTGGATCAGCCCTTTCACCCTGAGCTAGAGGTGAGAGCTAGTGGCCAGCTGCTTTGCTTTCCTGATATTCAGCTTGAAGTTTGAACCCCGATATCAGTCACTGGGTCTTTTATTTTTCGTGTTACAATGAAGTCTGGAATCATCTATCTTGATCTGAGGTTCCCATTTACTCAAAAGATATGCAACCCAGGAAAATCCCTAAACCTTTCTGTAAGTCTCATTTTCTTGAGTGTAAAGTAACTACAATGACATTTACCCAATGGGCCATTTTGAGGATTGAGTTCATACTTGTAAACCATTTATAGCAGTTTCAAGCAAATGCGAGGGAGGGGGAAGTGGGGAGGGAGAAAAGGGGCACCTTTTAACTATGCTTACCTTTTTGGTGGTATACAATCAATAGGAATTTAATTTGGAAATTGAAGTTTCACTTACTTTTGTCCTCCATGAGCATACAGTATTGAATTAGCTTTAGTGCTATGTCTGACTGTTGCTGTGAAATTGAGGCAAGAGATGCTGGCTGTACATTCTTGTAAAGACAAAGATGCGGCGGGTATTCTCAGGTATTTTATACCCTTCTATATGCAGTTCCTATGTATATTTAGGCTGAATGCATCTGATATGTGTGTCTGAGAACAGGGACAGATGAAAATGTAAAAGAGAAAAATAACTCAAAGAACATGGGAATGATAAAAAGTTGATTCTCAGAGCTCTGACCTGAGCTCCAGCCATGAAGACTTTCTTTTAAGTTGTGAAATAATGAGACTCATCATGTGTGAGACCTAAGAGAAAATATCTTGACCCCAAGTACTCAAGACAATATGTGTAAAATTAGTTCCAAAGAGAGTTAGACTTGGTGAGTTTTAGAGATCTTTTACAGGTTCCCAGGAGAAGGAAGAGAGTGATTAGATTAGCAATTTTTAATAATCTTCCTAGGATAAGGGTCCTGGGTGGCAGGTGGGGCAGAACCAGGCACTACAAGATTATTTTAACAATCCTGACCATATTCAAGGTGAGACATGAATACATAAATGAAGACTGGACATCCAAGTATGTGACGAGGAACAGAGATCATCCCACAGCTGGACCATAACCACAGATTCTGATTTCTCATCTTGACATATTGCCTTGAAAAGATCTTCATCTCCATGTTGCTGACAATTTACAGTAGCCCTACTCAATGAGGGCAAGAAGAACCCTTACTCAGCCTTGTACTATTCAAATCCTGCTTCCAAGAAAGGAAGTCATGTATATTGCAATGTGTATGTGTGTGTGTGTGTGTGTGTATGTGTGTGTGTGTGTGTGTGTGTGTAAGTGTATTTGTGTGTTTAGAATCTGGCCCATGGTCATCTTTGCTAGACGTTATTTTTGTCATTTCTATCAGATTTTTGTAGTTTTGTAAAGGTTTGACCAAGGTCTCATTTCTTCTCCCTCTAAGCAATAGCTTAAATGCAGAGTGGGTTAATTCATCAGCAGAGTTATATCCCTTGGCAGATCATTCAAACACGTTCCTCTAATTTATTGGAAAATAGCTGCCCTGAAATCCTCAGTGGTCCTCTCCCAAGCTTGTAGATAATCTATAACTGTACTCTCCTTTCCTAGGTTCTTTTAGATGTTTATATCCATTCAGTAGTTAGGGGTATAATCCTTGGATTAGCTGAGTCTCCAGGATTCTGTCATATCAAAGACCTCTCTCTTGTCTCTTTACTGCCATCTGCCCCACCCCTGTCAGAGTGTTAAATATTGCTGCCATCATTTTAGCCTATCAGCACACAGAAGTCAATAAATATAGGATATAGTAACAATTTTGTTTGATCACATTTTTTTTTTGGTTTTACGAGACAGGATTTCTCTGTATTGTTTTGGAAGCTGTCGGTCCAGCCCGGCCTCGAACTCACAGAGATCTGCCTGCCTCTGCCTCCCGAGTGCTGGGATTAAAGGCGTGCGCCACCACTGCCTGGCATTTGATCACATTTTAAGACATGAGTATTATAATACTGCCCATACTCCATCATGAAAAAGAAAAGAAACATAAAGAATTAACCTCAACAGTAATATATAATGTATAAAATAAGGCTCATTTTAATCTATAGTTTTGGTTATCTACTGCCAATTTTTACTCATAACTACTAAGTAGAATGCTCCAGAAACTAACAATCTGAATATTGGAAACAGCACCATCCTTGGACATGAGTTGTCCCTCCCTCCAAGGTATCCTTGCTCTATTAACTACACTCTGTCTAAGGGATAGATTAATAACCATTCTATAGCAATATGTTCTCATTACTTTATTTTCATTAATAACTTTTCAAAGCACAAGTATACTGGTTTGGAAAACTCAGAGAAAACAGAAAAGACATAAAATATTTCCTGTAAGTGAAAAGATGTAAGTTCTTGACTTAAAGCAAGCAAAAATGAAAAAAAAACCATATGCTGAGGTTTGGTTGCTAAGATCTAATGTAAATTATTGCTGTTAATCTTTTACTGGGACTAATTAAATTATGTCCATAGGTAGTCACATATAGGAAAAACAATATGTTATAGGATCCAGGCATATCTGTAAATGACAGGCTGTCAGCATGTTGTAGGAATTAGGAATTTTTAGAGGTCTTCAATTAGTCTCTGTTGGTGGGGAGGGTCTACTATAATCCTGTATTTATGAAAAATCAGAGTGTGTTATATTTCAATGTAAAAAGATATTTCATCTTGCAAATATACTACGAAAGACACCTCAGAGAGCAATGACTAATCTGTTAATTTCCTAAAGTCTGCATAACACTATCAGAACTATGAATGCACAGTGGCAGCCTTGACTGGTCACTCAAATATGTTAAGAAATTCATCTACAATTGACAAGTACATTTAGGTGGCAGCATATATAGTTTATTTAGATTTTCATTTTGGGTATGCTTTTATGAGCCAGTCTTGCTCCTTATCAAATGCTCTCACGTTGGTCTGCATTTTGGTTGGAGTTACTCTGGAGAAATGGCTTTTTGGTTCCCGCATTATGTTGCAATGTAAAGCTTTGGAAAATGTGCTATCATTTCACAAAATGGCTTAGCAATTTATTATGAACATTTTTAAGTGAAGTTAACTTTTCCATATATAAGTATAGCAAAATGTTTTGGGTTTAAAAAATTAATAAGGAATTTCAGAATAGTTAGTTAAATGATTGGTTTTTTATATTTTAGATGGTTAGTTCTTTTATAGTTTAAAAAACTATAAAATCTCAAGAGAATGGTAGTTTCCAGAAGTTAAAACTCTGTCACATATATTTTATTGGTTTCATTTGAAACTTCTATATTAAAGAAATACCAGAGAAAAAAATAAAAATTGATACAATCGTGTAGGAAACAATATATGATACTTATAGGACAAGACTGTAAAATCCTAGCACAAAATAAATCCTTGCTGGAAATTTAATAGGAGGTCCACTGACAGTGTGTTTTTTTGTTGTGTCAAATATTGGGTAGTAGATGTATAAAATTAAGTTTATAATAGTTATATCATACTTTGACTCTTACTAAAATATTAAGTCCTTAGTGGGTCTCAAAGACACGCTGTACTTATCTGGACGTGGTGACACACCCTTTTAGTTACAGTACTTGGAAGGTGGAGGCAGGTGGGTTTGTGAGCTCAAGACAACTCTTAACATAGAGAGTTGCACACCAGTCAGAATTGCATAATGAGATCCTGTCTCAAAAAGAAAACAAACCACTGTACATTGTTCTTGATGTTATGCATTTTAAATAATTCCACTCCACAGAATGGAAAGAAATTACCTTACAGAATTCTGGTTACTTAATACTTTATGTACTATAAACAAACCAATTCCTCTGCTTCTTTATGGAACTGTATCCTGTCACCAAATGTTAAGCATTTCTGGTGGGACTTAAGTTTTTCAGGAATAATTATTTAAAACACGGGATATTTAATGGTCAGCAAGCAATTGGAAGTCTTTCCATCCTTCTTCTGGAATCGAAGCACTATTTGAAGAATGCATTAGCAGCACAGTTTGCACTGCCTAGTGGATAATGGACCACTTCGGGTGGTGATGATGCTATTTCACTGCATAGTGAATGTTGGGTCTCAAGTTGGAAATCATAGTAAATACGTGGCTCTAACAAAATGTCTGAATGTGAAGAAAAATGAGATAGCCAGTTGCTATGTATCATTAATGACTCCATGAGTGCTGCTGTTTCTGTTGGTAATGTTTTTTTGTGTGCTTATACGAGGCACTACCTACCAGACTGCAAATACAAGATGTCAACAAAGAAGACTCTATATGGGACAAAGATACAAAAGTGAGACTTACAGATAGCAGTATTTGTACAGCACTGTGGATGACCTCTAGGTACTGGAAATCGACGACACAGCCTGTGACTGAGACATATGTATAGTCATCCATCATGCCATGGGCTGATGGGGGCAGCACTCTCCGGACACAGCCAGGTCCATGTTCCCTCCACCATGACCGATGTACAGAGATGTTGAATGTCATCAGATCTGTGTCCTACATGACAGTAGACAAGAGAACAAAAGACAATCTCATTACATCATGCTTTTGGCTTTGACACTGAAAAGAGTTCAGGAAAGGTGGAAGTGCTGACATGATTTTAATTTCAAATGAAGAGAAAAAAATACAAAGCCCCAAATGGCTGTGTATATTACATATCTATACTACTAAGTTATTATTATTCGAAGTAGAGACATAGTCCTTTGGATAACATTAAACTTGTGAGGTTTGTACGCATCAAATGTTCAGGGGGAATGTATTTTGCTTAACAGATGTTTTTGGGTGCATTTCTTGCTAGTATTATGCCACCCTGCTATACACAGAAGGGAATCTACTAAGGTGAAGACATCACTGGTAGATACCAATTGCTTGTCCAATGTGGTCTAGCCCCAGATTAATCAATGGAAGGAAGATCCTACAAGTATAAATGGCTTCCATCCCTGGTCCACAGCCTGCTGAGAAAGTGTACTCCACATCTGCTGGATATTCAGGAATATTCTGATAACATTGGTCGAATCCACTAGACAAAACATCAACTGAATCTTTATTTTTTTGCATTTCCCTGATGGCTAAGGTTGTTGAGCACTTTCTTAAGTGTCTCTTGGCCATTTTAGCCTCCTCTATTGAGAATTCTCTATTTAGTTCTGTACCCCACCTTTTAATTGGATCCTTTGGTGTTTTGGAGACTTGTTTCTTGAGTTCTTTGTAAATTTTGGAGATTATCCCTCTGTCAGATGTAGGGTTAGTGAATATCTTTTCCCATTCTGTGGCCTGCCTTTTTGTTTTGTTGACTGTGTCCTTTGCCTTACGGAAGCTTTTTAGTTTCAGAAGGTCCCATTTGTTAATTGTCGATCTCAGTGCCTGTGCCACTGGTGTTATGTTTAGGAAGTGGCCTCATGTACCAACTCGTTGAAGAGTATCTCCCACTTTCTCTTCTAAAAGTTTCAGTGTGGCTGGATTTATGTTGAGATCTTTGATCCATTTGGACTTAAGTTTTGTACAAGGCGATAAACATGGATCTATCTGCAGTCTTCTGCATACCAGTACCCAGTTATGCCAGCACCATTTGTTGAAGATGCTTTCTTTTTTCCATTGTACAGTTTTAGCTTCTTTGTCAAAAATCAAGTGTTCATAGGTGTGTGGGTTAAAATTAGGGCTTTCGATTCGGTTCCATTGGTCTACCTGCCTATTTTTGTGCCAATACCAAGCTGTTTTCAGGACTATAGTGAGGGAGACTTATCTAAAGTGAGGGAGACTGAGGTGGCTCAGAAGGTAAAGGTGTTTGCCACATAAGCCTGGAAATTTGAGTTTGATCAACAGAACCCAGGTAAAAAGTGGAAGAACTAACTTCACAACTGGTAAGGGACTCCACATGTTCCAAAGGACAGATCCCACTCCCCCACTCATCATGCACACATATACATAATAACAATAATGAATAACCTAAAAAGAAATATGGCGAGGGAGCATTAATGCCATCCACTAATATTATATCAGGATCCGTGTGAACTCTTATGTCCATTGTGTTTGCTTTATAAAGTTGGCAGGCTCAACTTTTGTTGCCCATGTATTTATAATCTTTATATAATATGATGAAGTATTCTATTTATTAGTATTTTGTAACCATCTTTTTTGCTTCTGCATATATTTTTGCATGTCTATTTTGCATGTCTATTTTTATTAGGTATCAGAAGAGCTATGCCATTTTGCTTTTGTTTGCTTACTGGACTGATATCTTCTCTGTGGTAGTCTTTGCCAAAAAAGGTGTCTTTTTTAGATAAAAATAGTTTAACTTTGATTTCTAATTTAGTCAGCTGCTCTGCATCTATATTTGTGAGCTAAGTTTATGTTTAAGGGTATTATTGAGAAATGATTATTAGTGTTTGTAATTTTGTTGGTTGGGGGCATTTTTAAAATTATTGGTTGATGTGGGAAGGACCAACCCCTGTGGGTTGTGGTGTCCTGGACAGGTGATCCTGGAGGTACAGAAAAGCTGACTGAGTCAAACTGGACAGGGAAAATCCCATGAAGCCTCAATCCTGCACAAAGAATTGTAAGGAAAGCTCACAGTAAGAGAAGTGAACCTCCTCAGGGAAGAACACACCAATTAGTTTCCCACTGTCGAATGGGAAACAGGCATACAAGTAACGACAGGCTATATTTAAGATTATATATATATATATATGCATGCAATAACAATTGGTAAAAAAAGAGGTTATGAATTTGAAGGTATATGGGAATGTTTGGAGGGAGGAAAGGAAAGGGAGAAACAGTATAACTAAATTACAATATGAAATTACCCCCCAAAAGGAAGCAGACTGAGCAAGTTAGGGAAAGCAAGTCAGTAAGCAGTGTTCCTCCATGACAAATGCTTCAGTTCTTGCCTCCAGGTTTCTGCCTGGAGTTCCTGCTCTAAGTTCCCTTCATTATGTAAAGTAAATAAACGGTAAATTAGAACTATAACTAAGACAAAAATAAAGATTGTAATTGCCCATATGAAGCAGAAGAAGGAAAAACAATGCGGGGCAGGCCAGTGGCCCTCAGGTCAAGGCACTGAACAGGTAAGCAGCTTGAGGAGTGGACAGGTCTCAGACCAGAGCACTGTGTAGATGCGAGGTTGGATGAGTGGAAGGAAGCCAGGCCAGGAGACTGCAGGGCAGCTGAGAGTGTGGCTGGTACCCAGGCTAGGGCACTGAGTAGCTGGGTAGCTGGGGGAGAAGAAGCAAGGTCATGTTCTATTGGGTTCACAGCTTCCTCTCCTCCTAAGCAGATACCATTGTCAAACAGACCAGACATGCTTGCTGGATCACTTCCATATATGGCCAGAGGTCATCAGTAAATTGTAGCATGCTAATCCCTGCTGCTCTGGTTAATTTCAGTCCTGTGTGAGGACAGGCTCCACTTTGATAGTTTCTGAAAGCGGTGGTTGGGACTCTGAGAGCATAACGAAGCAGGTGGAAAATGGAAAGCTCTTGAACTTATAGATGGGTAACATTGAGTGTCACCAGTTTTGAACTCTGTACAAATGCAGTATGGAAACTACCTCCTATACCTGATGTAAAGGGTGAGCCAGAAGGTCACAAAGATGCCCCAGTACGTTCTTAGGAAAAACTACTTAATGTGGTTAGCTTTTCCTCAGCTTAAGAAATCCAAAGAACTTTTATTGGCATTACATATATATATATATATATATATATATATATACATGCACATATATATATATCATAATATGCTTTCTGGTTTGCTATTCAGTTACTTTTACAGCAATAGTGCATTATTGATAATAAAACATTTCACTTCATTTTTAGGGTCTGTTGATTTCCTACATGAATTATTTGCAGTTACTCTCAGAGGGTAAAATATTACAGAAAAATAATTGCTTTCATAGGTGAATTTGGTTTCATGCAAGGCTATTTTCCTGCAGGCAAACTACAGAGATTTGCACTGACTGCTCCATTTCCTGGTCATCAGATTTAATCTCTTACAGTTAGTCCTGATTAATATAGAACAGCTATGCGTTCTTCTTATCTTAACAGAATTCATTAGGTTCAAGATGAATTAGCATGATCTCAAAACTCATATAAATTTTCTTTTTTAAGCATTAAAATCCAGTAACCTTTGCTTTTGAGAAATATAAGTTCCTTTCAGTAAGACTTTGACTAAAATGCATAAAAATAAATCACAAATCAATTTATGAGCCAATCATCCATATTTGTTACCCTCATAAAACCTCTCAGCATAGCTCTTACTTATCTCTAGAGATACAATCATTTATAAACCAAACTATGATTTCCACTGACTGTATTAAAGTTTGACAGTGAACATCAATAGCATAAAATTATATTTAAAGTCCACACTTGAAAAGTTTGCTATGGAGTTTTATTTTATGTTTGTATATGATTTCTATGCGCTTCACTCTTGGATTTCCAACACAAAAAGTACTAAACACATGACAACTCAATATTTGGTACAATACAGATCAGACGAAAGGAATATATAAAATTTTAAGGTTCTTATATACATAAATACAGGAGGACATTTATTTTGTTGAAACTCTCAGTTACCAAGCCAAGATGTGTAGTTTTTAAACACATGGATTAATATGAAACCACAGTTATACATTAAAATAATTTTGAATATTTTAAATGTCACTTCTCCTTCTGATCTTGTAATTAGAATGACATATGATGATTTAAGATCACCTTGTTAAGAAAATTGAAAACAAATGCAAGTGATGCCTTTGAGATTATTTTTCAGATTTAAAATGATCTAAACAACAGTTTGCATTCATGAAAATATAGGTGAAGTTAACCGAATTTAGCATCCCCAAATATGACACTTTGTTATGAAGGAATTACTTTGATCTTGAGAAATCTGAAATACCATCCTAGAGCCTTCATCTAGTAGCTGATGGAAGCAGAAGCAGAGATTCACAGCTAAACACTGAGCTGAACTCCTGGAATCCAGTTGCATAGAGGGAGGAGTCATGAGGAAAGGGGTCAAGACCATGCCCCAGAAACCCACAGAAACAGCTGACCTGAGCATGTGGGAGCGCAGGAATTCGAGACTGACAGCTGGTGAACCAGAGTAAGACTGAACCAGGCCACCTGAACACAGGTGTCAGTTAGGAGGCCTGGGCAGCCTATGGGACCCCTGGTAGTGAAACCAGTATTTATCCCTACTGCATGAATGGACTTTGGGAGCCCATTCCCTGTGGAGAGATGCTCTCTCAGCCTAGATATATTATGGAGCACCTAGGCCCTGCCCCAAATGATGTGACAGACTTTGATGATCCCTCATGGAAGGCCTCACCCTCCCTGAGGAGTCCTTAGGGGATGTGAGGGGGTTTGGTGGGAGGAATGAAAGGACTGGAGGGAGAGGGAACTGGATTGGTATGCAAAATAAGATTGTTTTTAATTTAAAGAAAAAGGCTTTCTCCTTACTTGTTTAAGCAAGGTCCTAATGTACAAAGATGCCCTCCTTCGATGTCTGTCAGG